ATATGGAAATGGCAACTAAAATGTTTAGCAAGAAAAATTTAAACTGACTTATCTATTTTGTATATGATCTTAAAGATGTCTCATAGTGTTTTTTTTTTTTTTCACAGCTCAAGATTGCCTTATTCATACAATGAACAAGCAAACATCCTTAAGTACATCACTGTTAATTGTGAATACGCAAGACTAAAAGGACGGGAGTTGTGGATGATAATGGAGAGACGGAATGTAAGTAGAGAATATTGTATATACTTAAATTGATTTATTTTACTACAAGTTTTGAAATGTTTTGTCTAATTTACAACAATCTTTTGAAATAGATTTGTGGTTTACTCTAGAAATATACAAATGTTTAATGAATATTGAAAGCCCAATGATTTTTACGCCTAATCACTAAAGTACAGTGCACTTCTGATTATCCGAGTCTAAGGTTATCCGAGGTTGTTACAGGAGGTTGTTATATTTTAGCGAATTTCCCATGTACGGAATATAGGGAGTAAGCTACAGTATTACCAAAGGTCTCGTGATAAGGCCTGGCCCCGGAACTGATTTACTTTTTCTTTTTGCAGTCCCCAGAAGGCCAAAAACACCATCCGTTCAAATTCATATATATAATTAATTAATCATATAAATTATAGCATAGAAAAGGTAAATTACTTTTGTATCATTAATAAGTGTGTTTTGTACTAGGTAGAGAGGGGTTGAAGCAGACTTGTAGAGTGAAAGATGTTTCTTTACAATTGCCACTTTTTTTTCTAGGACGCTAGGCACGAGCCTAGGATTGTTTTTCACATTACTTCAGGCTAAACCTAGGGGTTTTGGCATTATCACTTAGATAAAATCCATTGGTGATTTAGCGGGATTTGAACCCGGGACCTCTTGGACTGAAATCCAGCATTCTAACCACTAGACCAGCTCCTTCATTAGGAATTAAATTTTTAAATCATAAAGTATTGTTACAAAACCAAACGGATATTAACGTACTCTATTCTTGACCATCAGGAGCGAATTTTTGAAAGAGATTTTCAGTTAAAACTCTATTTTCAGTTGTTAGAAGTTGTATGTTCTTGACCACCACTAAAGTTTATCAGTTTAGTTGGATGATTCCGTATCGACTCACCCCTTGCTTAGTTTGATATATTCCACGAACAGGCCCAAGGCCTATGTAAAAGGAGCTATGGACCTCTTTTTAATAATGAGAAATCTTGAACATTAACATTATTTAAGAAATGCTTCTAAATGTACAATCAATTTAGAATATTAAATATGTAGCAGTTAAATATTACGAACATCACGGTAATATTATTAACAATTGAGATGGGGGCCACCCAGGTAGCACAATTTTTATTTCAGCTGCGGTTTTTCAACACGGACGGAATGAGAGCATTCTATTGGCTTTCATGGCGTGACGTCACTCTCTTCTCTTTTGTTGCTTTGTTTCAGACTAAGATCAGCTGTTTCATCAGCCAGGACCAATTTATTAAAAGCCCAATGATCAAGTACAGCTGGTTCCAGTTTCTAACCTACAAAAAGCTACACACTGTCCTCAATAGTCCATTGCCCAGTTAATGTTATTGTACCTTTAGTATATATTTTATTTTCAGATTTGCCCTAATAGGACATGGCAGAGCATGAAGGAACATTTTGTCAAGAAAATTATTACGAATATCGAAGCATTTGACTTTTTAACAGAAAGTGATAAACTTAAATTGAAAACCTCCTTTTACTGAAGCATTACCATCTTTTAAAACAACAAAATAGTGTGTATATTGTCATTTATTAAACAAATTATTAAAATTATATCTTTTTTACTTCATGTGTTAAAACAATAAAGAATTTTCCTTAAACCTCTGATTTTATTTTACCTTGCCTGATTTCCTTTGTTTCTACTGTATTGTGGTTTCAACTATTATCTGATGGTGGGTTATTATAACAGAAACTGAACAGAAATGGTATAGATAGTAAACAAACAAATGAGTCACTGGCTCCTGAGTAAACATGTTTGCATTATTTATTTAAATGGAAATCTCAAAAAACATTGGAACCGTCAAAAACATCCAAACCAGATACTACGGCAATAAGATTCTGGCCATATAAAACATTAAATTTGAGAACTAGTTCCATATGCAACGCGGTACGGGCAGACGTTTTGTCCTTCAGGCTCTTGAAACCGGAAACTGCTCACTACAAAATTTAGGATCATAGACGGAATCAGGTAATTTTATACCATTTTAATCGCTGTGTATATTTAACGACGCATTTCAACCACTTGTCTAATAAACGTAGGTTTACACATTTGTACAAAAGCTGGGGACAGCAAAATGAAACAAATTGGTCCCGGGTCCAGTTCTCATCTTGAGATTTCTAAACAGGAAATTCGCTAGCTTACCTGGTAGATAGAGTCCAGATTAGCCTTGATTACACATAAAACACATGACACAACACAGAAAAACTAAAAAAATCGTCCCAGTTAGGGACTTCATCAGAAGGGAGAAGAAAGAAAACTGGCAGTTACAGTTCAAATTCAAAAGTTCCACAATAGTGTTGCCAACTGTTGTTTAAAATTAAATGAAAATTCCTGTTGTTATGTACATCTACTCATACACTCCTATATATACACATGGTAGGTTGATTATTAAAAAAATGAACCTTGCTGAGGGAAGGCCGGGAAGGGTTGGGTGAATTATCTGATGTTAAGGTTAGGAGGGTTTCTGGAATCAGTGATGTATTGGTAGGCTAGTTCCCACCTTCTGAGTAGGGAGCTGTTACATTGGTCTTTGGGGAGGTATTTGATGGATGAATTTGAACTGTAAATGCCAGTTTTCTTTCTTCTCCCTTCTGATGAAGTCCCTAACTGGGACGAAATATTAAGTTTTTCTGTGTTGTGTCATGTGTTTTATGTGTAATCAAGGCTAATCTTGACTCTATCCCTATCCTTGTACATAATAATCCTAATCAACCAATTGGCCTTTCCTTAACTCCTAGACAGGAAATTCGTGAATACTAATCTAAATGAACAAAGTTGGTGCTTAGCTCTAGAAAGTGTGTACTTAGTTATAATGAACCAATGGTTATGGCATTTGTGACTCAAGTGGTTAGAGAGTTAACTCAGTGGATGATAGCTCATAGTCACAAAGGTGTAACATCCCTGTCTTTTTATGCCTTATCAGGAGTTCCCCAGGGCTCGCATCTGGCATCTGGGTCCCTTGCTTTTCTGTCTGTTCATCAAGGACAACCTGATAACTGTTGAATATTTACTTTTCACTAATGTTGTCTAGTTCTTCTGTTGAGCCCACACTCTCAATCAGAGGAATCACTTCAGCAGGGTCAGTGGAGCCCTGGGCAAACTCAAAATCAGCGCCCCCCTTTTTTCCAGTCCGGGCGGGCGGTGGTTGTAGTGCGCCCCTGGGTATATGCCCAGTCTGCCCGTTTATAAAAGCGGGCCTAATCACTCGACAATATTAGCAACTGGTGTAAAAATAACTCAATGGAACTTAAGTTTTGTCAAGTGATAATTTTTTAACGGGACTTGCAAATAAATGGAGAAAGTTTGAAGAGGATGGAAATAGTGAAGGATTTGGGAGTGAATGGTTGGTTAGAATGCCAGGACCGAGAATAGGATATACTTATCGTAATGCCCCAGTCACTAATCTTGAGGCTCAATATCAACTTAAATCTCTCCACACGAGACGTACTATTCAAGACTGCTGTTGTTCAAGCTGGTAAATAATATCCTGGACTGTTCGATACCCTGCAGTACTTAATACTTGTGTCCTTAATCGTTGACCGACAATGTCGGATAGACTGCGTCATCCTGACGTCACCTGGCGTCCTACGTCACCTGGTAGCTCCTCACGGTAATCACTCCAGGACTATTTTTTGCCTGAGGTACAAGCCAAGCGACTTAATATGGATACAACAGTGACATTTCAAGACTAGAAGGAGATGCAGCCAGTTTTGGTGCTTCAGCAGGTGGCTTCAGAATGCTTCCAAAGAGGTGTTCCTGATTTCGTCATAGTGTGGTTGTTTGACCAACATGGAATTTCTCGTACCAAAATTTATCTTTGTTAATTTGGCACATTCATTGTTTTCTTTTTATTGTTGAAGTTCTAAATGTTTGTCTGTTAAAGGTTATTAAAATGTTTTATTGATTTTATTTATTGCTTTAATTCCTATTAGCTCCTGTTGTCCTTGCCTGTAACAAAATAGTATTCTTAGTTAAAATTGTTTCAATTGTAGTTTGTCAGTCATAATTACATAGTAGCCTATACAATCTTTATATAAATTTGGTAAAAAGTTTATGGTATTGTCAAAAGGTGTTGTCTATTTCAACAAAAAAATGAATGTATAAAGAACTGGATATTAACAACACCCTTTAAAAGTGATCCAATTTTCATAAAATATTATTTAAATAAACTAAACTGTAGTTTAATTATGTTTCTTTTTACTATTTATGAATGTTAACCATGTGAACACTTGAAAAAAACTTCAGGATTATGATCTACGAAAGTGTAACTCCTTTCTCCTTCAAACAAAAAGACGTATGACTTACTAATTTGAACAACTCTTTTCTCAAAAATATCAAATAATACCAAACCCAAATTTAAACCTGTTATATTTGAATAGTAAAAATTTTAAACTTTTATAAGTGACATATGACTTTAAAGTCATATGGTTGTTAATTATTATTATATTGTTTTTGTAAACAAACTTACTTGTAAGCAAACTAACTTGTAGTTCATTAAATGGAATTTCATCGAAAGATTTAGTTTAATTTCAAAAAAAGAAACAATAAGCTTAAACAAACAAATATAGTACATTTTTACTACCTAAAACCGTTTATCAAAGTAGGCCTGCTAAGAGGCCGGAGGGACATTGCGAAGTGTAAACAATTAGCGAGCAGGTGTTGGCAACATTGTTGACATTGTCACGCTTCTCCCAGCTGATCTTTTCATCAGCTGATAGCTCGGTTCTCAGATCAGACCTTTCTTTCTTTCAGTCAGTGTTGGCGCGCGCTACTGTGAACGTAGTCTGTGTTGTGCTCGGTCGGTTGCTTATTATATTGTGCACATTTTCTGGATAAATACTCGTTGCTAAAGGATATAGGTAAGTTTTTTCATATTTTCTGCCTTTGTGAGAAGTTTTAAGTACAGTTTCTGTAAAACAATATCAATGACAGTATTTTAAATATTTTTGATTCTAGAAATTATAAAATTAATAATCTGTGGTGGTGATTACCGTATTTTCTATTTCGTTTCTTGTTAAAAATGAAAATCTTTATTTTCCGTTGATCATGTACATGCAATAGGCATCACCAATACAATATAATAGATACAGGTTTTCAGATATCAAATAGCACACAGCAATCATAACCAAAAGCAAGCCATGACCAGAAACAAAGCAAATCAAACCATGAAATCAGAAATCAGAAACTTTTTACTGCCGTAATTTGCAAGGTACATGCATATGACAAAGTCAACAATGAGGTTCAAGTTTAACCAAGAAAATAAAACTAGATAAAACATAAATAGACAAAACATTTGTCTGGGCAGTCACAATAGATCAAAAAATGCACAAAACTACTGGCAAAAAAGAAAGAACTTTCATGAAAAATTCACTTACTGTTTTTTTGGGGGTTGAAGAAATCGGAGATCTTATATAGAGAGGAAAGGAAATGACAATAAGAGTGCACGGAAATTGTTTCTGAATGTTTCATTGGTTTGGTTCCAGGCTGTACAAATAATGTGAATAGCCGCATGCTTAAATGGATTTCTTAGAGTTTTTCTTAACCTGACATAATGCACACCAATCATGTTCTATTTTTCGTATTTTACATGTTTTGATCATTTCTGAGTCTAAGTGACTGTAGACAATTTTTTTTTATATTTACAACCATAGACTAAGGGAGTACACTATGTTTTATCTATGGTTCAACCGAGACAAAAACATACAGACATGTTATGCCGTTATTGTGTCCGAAGTCTACAAATACTTTGTTACTAAACAATGAGATCAGTATGAATGATAATACATGTGGACCTGTGTGTGATGAAATTGATCTTTCGTGCAAAATTCGCACATTCCTTTACAATTTGATCTGAGCTCAGTTGTAATTTGTTGTTTGAAACGATGTTAATGAAAGAAAATAAACAACATGTACCTTGTTCTTGTTTAACGTGACGCTTGAAGGGAAAAACAAACCAAAATTAGGTTCTATACTAGTGTAATCTAAACATTGTTATATTACAAGAAATTGACGATTCCCCTGTCTACGAGGACGGCGGAGAAGACATCGATGGTAAATGGTTACTGCACTGTACCCTTGTTCTAAATATCAATTGCAGATAAAATTTCGATTGTTCTCCTACTCTACGTAGTACTGTTTCATACTATTAGGCCTACTACATCTTTGAGTTTTTTCACACTTAGCTTATAATATAGTGTTAAGGAAGTGCGGTTTGTGCAGAAAACAAGATAAAATCCCATTCCCAAAATTATCTTACAAGGACAGATATAAGAGAGAGTTGATTATTTCTCGAAGCTTCAAACCAATCAGAATCCCTTATCAGACCATACTGTAATTTTTATATTATCATAGATTTTATTATGATAGTTGAGCGAAAACTCTCACCTAACTTAACTTTAGGGAAACAACTCAATACGCAGCTACACTGTATAAAGTACGAGTAGGCATATATTTAAATATAGGATACTGTATTAGAACTGGTTATAGGAAATCTCACCTAACCTAAAGTGTAACTTACTATCTATAAGCTGTTTAGTGTTTCGTCAACTATCATTTTCATGCACGGGTTCAGAATAGTTTGCTCCTGTATCTGCTTTGTTGTTTGCAAAGAGATCAAAAGTCGTTTGATAACTTCACTTGCGTATGTAGAACGTTGGCGCCGATAGCGGAATCAGTGTTGCCAATATACACGTTAAATAGTGTAAAAAGTATTGAAGTTTGTTGGCAACAAAGGAAACAATGGTTTAGACAAGATTCTTCATTTTTGAAGCCATAAACAGCCGCAATTGTTGAAGCGATCAACAGTTAGGTCTTGAAGTGGTGATGACACCTTTTCCAACATTTATAACGTGCACGGAGTTCTAATGATTTATTATATTAGGAAAAGTTTATCAAACCGGATAAATAATACTAAAATAATCTAAACCTCTTGACCATAAATCTAATTTTCAAAGAGAAGAACTATGGGAGACTAATAAAACGTAAGCTAAAGTGAATTGCTAAGTACTTTATATTCGATTAGGGTACAAAATACCGCGCAATATACACAATTTGTTGTGTTCTTTGATCTAATTCTAATGTGTTAGGTTAAAGTATTTTCGAAAAGTTTGGACGAATAGTAGTCCCGGATAGTGAATTTTCCAAATAATGCACAGATGAATAAATTTGCTTAGTGACTCAACAATCGAACACAATTAATTATTACAAAGTTATTTACAGTTACGTTATAATTGTTTCGCCAACTTTAAACTCATTTCTGCCATTCGAAAGGACTGTAGGGTTTCTTGACAGCTAACCATTGTTTCTCTTGAGAAAAGTTATCATTGTTTACAACCTGTTATCAAACTAGCCCGGTTAACTGTAACAACGGAAATCTCAAGATAACAGATAACATGGCGGCGCCTACTGTAGAAACTCGACATCGGAAATTTATGACACTGTAAAACCTTCACATTTGTCACATTCATAACACCCACTTGAAACAAGTGTGACATGTGTCTCCTTTCAAATTTTCAAATTAGGTCGTTAGTTAGACCATTGAGAAAATTGTGAAAATTTCTCTAATGGATAAGGGAAAGTATTACCAGTGTGTAGAAGAACTACTATCTATTTTTTTATTTCAAGTCCTAATGTTGAACAATTGAAAAATGTACCGTAATGTTTGTATTGTATAGTAGTTAGACGTATTCGTTGTATTTCTTATTGGAATTTTCATGTACATGCACAGTGTTATGTACATATTGTATGATCGATCAATATTTTAGACATGGCCAAGGCCGTGAATAGGTCTATCTCTATGTGTTTCCCGGATCCATGATCTACAAGTGTAAAATTTCAATCGTCAGCTCAGTATATTTTGCATACACCTGGAAAACGCCCAACAACACGCCTCCTCTTATTTACAGTGACGAACATTTTGTTTTCTAAATTTTTTTTAAGTTTTTGGATTCTACGGAGCGAAAGTACAAATTTAACTCACATTATTGGTAGTTTTCATTTTGAAAAGTCTTTTATCATAATCTCAGGAGATTACGAACCCAGATTTCCACACGAGCTGTGTGTCTGACGAATCAATGAATTATTTCGTTAAGTATTGTTGTGCTGAAATCCGAACCGATTCAGGATGTAGGCAGCCCAGGTCGTAGCCCCAAGAACTACGCCAAGTCAGCTAATTTTAGTTTCGGATCTCAATATCAATGCCAATTTCTCAATCGGAATTGCGTTGCGGAAAGAAGTACTTTAAACGATGTATTGTAAGTTTGCATATTTAATCAAACGCTTGATATAGACACTAGAAACGCAAAGACGATTGATAAGTGAAGACAGAATTACGTAAAGCTTTAGACAAAATCAGCTGATTCTTAAGCTACAGTATGCACAATGATCAAAAACAGCTGGGCCCAGTTTCGAACCATCAAAAAATGCCTCAAGCATTCCCAAATCACCATACCAGTAGGCCTATCCAGTATACCAGTATCCTTTAAGGAGAATTCTTTTAATATTTAGCCACCCAACTATATTACGGTTATATTAATAGATTTTTTAGTTTTAAAATACGATTTGAAACAGTCACACATTTGATTCAAAAGTTGAAAAAGGCCATAATTAAGGAAATAACAAAAACCTCAGAGTTTTTGAGCATTAAGTTGTTTAAAAAAAAATATTTTAAGGGCTAAAAGCACATACATTTTTCACAATCGAGAAATTAGTATTGTTACGCATATTCGTTTTTTTCAAGGAACAGTTGTGGTAAAAATACTAGGAAAAACTTTTTCTCCAGATTAGGCCTATTCCATGTAAGTCATGGAAAACATTTGTTTAAAGTTCAACTTTATTTTTCAAACATCTTGACTTTTTTTTATTTAAGCTTCTGGTTTGTTCTCCATGCACGTTGCCTTACCTCAAGTCTACAGGATCAACGAGTAAACACAATACAATATTTTGAATGCGTTTAAAATGTGCTCCTAGACACAATATCCCAATCTCTGCTCGCATAATTTTCTTAAGGACAATTTGAGAGAAAAGTAAAATATATAAATATTTTTTGTGAGAGAAAACTAGATAATAAGTAGTTATTCTGTACAAATGAAAAATAAAAATAAATCTATTCTTGGCAAAAACACTCGAATTAAGTTTTATCAAACTAATAATTCATGAGGTGGTGTGTACAAAGTTACACTTAATGTGTAAACAAAATTCAGCTGACTTTGACCTTGTGACCTCCGACTTGTGCAGATTGTTGTATCGAATCTTGATATTGCAGCACAAGAAACGTCTAAATATAAACCTGAAAACTTATCAAAACTAGGAGAACATTACATTAGGAGGTCTTTCTTTGGACAGAAAATCCAGTTTTTAACCCAATATTAGCAGTAAAATAAAGACTCATTAAGAATTAGCCCTATATACTATGTTCTACTGGTGTTAAAAAAAAAGTTATAACTTGTGTAATTGTTTACTTGATTTATTTTTATTTCTTAAGTGAAGTAACGTAAATTCTTAGTTGATTTTTCGTGTTTAGTTCTGTTAGCTTGGTTTCAAATGATAAAGTATTGTTTATTTCTATTATTATGTGTAGGTCTGTAAGCTTTTAAACATTTAAAAAAATGTTTTGTAGAATGAAATATATATTTGTAGGTTATATTTTCTAGTTCACCATCTACTATGTACTCATTTTTATCTGGTATCCAGATCAACAGGTAATAGTTTAGTGGTCTAAACAGACGACATCCAATGAATACATATTCATTGCCATAACGCTGAGATTTAAATACCAATAGTGTGATTTATCCTTTCAAATAAATTCCAAATCCTTTAAAAATAAAAATTCAGTATAACACAGTAGTTCGAAATCAAATCA